TCATGTATTGAAACTTTGGGGAAGGCTGTCTCAAAGCACCAGTGAAAATATTCCCAAAAACTACCAAATGCTTCGTTTCACAAAGTTGACAGATGCAAATTTATTAAGGAATTCCATATTACTTTTAAGAAGCGACTTAAATTTAGCTTTGGAGAGTTCATTAAGTTTTCAAAATTCACGTTTTTCGTTGGTTAGATTTGATAATATTCTTAAATAAATTGTTTACGTCTTTTGTCCATAATAATAATAGTTTTCATAACAACAATACTTTCCATGATAACAATAATACAAACACTGTAAACAACATTAAAAACAATGATCCACTAATAACATTCTATTTTTCATCACCTCACCTAGTCACAATCTATGTTCACACAATCTCAAAAAACATTTTAGTCAATTTGAACATGTGAACTTAGCTTTCAGAAATCTGAAGACGATTAAGACACTTTTTTCCGATTCAAAAGGCAAAGAAGATATCATTAACTCATCCAATGTGGTTTACTTCATCCCTTGTTCCAGTTGTGAGAAGATTCATATTGGACAAACGACTGGAAGAATAAAGGGCAGAATTACTTCACACAAGAGTGACATAAGATGCAATAAACCATTCAGCACTCTTTCTAAACACACCATTGAATCAGAGCATGGCTTTTGTTTTGATACTATTCAAATTTTTTATTCAGAAAATGATAGTCAAAAAAGAACTTTCTTAGAAATGTGTCATATATTTGAAAATTTGAATACCTGTTTTCATCAATATTCAATTTTCAATTGTAAAACTCAGATTGCTTCGACGAAGTATCTATTCAGAGACGAAAGCTTGACGATTGGGGAAATTTTGTAAGTTTGTTCATTTGAACGTGTCTGGCTGAAAGTCCCGTTAAGATGTGAGCACTCTTGTAAAATATATATTTCTCAACCAATCTAAATGGTTCTTTTTCCTTGAGGCAGACATTGGGAAAGTTTACTATGACACCAACCGGGCGGTTCGACGTGGGTGCTTTGTTGACTCACTCGAATCGACCGCCGTGTTGGTCGCTGGTTCAAGCCCCAGCCTTAACGATCGATTTTCACTTGCTATTGTCCAACCCGTGTTAGAAATCACGCGTTAAAAGGTAAGACCTCGTTAGTTCTTAGCTCGCACAAGTTTCGACTTCTTAAGGTTGTCTTTCGTACCAAATTCCATGAATTATTCGAGGCCAACTATTTTTATTTTCCAAAGCCAAAAATTAAAAAAATAATTAGCGCTTTTTTTTACAAAAAATCTGACTACATCACTGGATTCGTGACGTTTTCAAATGGTTTATGTCAAAGTTACGAAGAAATTCATCGCATAGCAAAAAAGTTACGAATGAATGAAATTTGCAAAAAATATGCTGTTGAATCAACCCACCACTTGAATTATAGAAGTTTCATCCAAGATCTGACTACATCACTGGATTGAGGAGGTCTCATGATATGACTGTTAAAAATTTCATCATGTTCATGAATGAAATAATTATAAGAAGGTAAAATTTGAAAAAATTTGTCGTTTAATGGGATTTTGACTACACGACTGGATTCGAATTGATATTCAGAAAAATATAATTTAAGATCCTTGCATTTATGAAAAATGTATGGAATGTATGAATCATATGAATGAATCCGATTATGAAAAAAACTTCAATGTCAGTAATTTCAAATAAAAATAACACCTGCATTTATTTCAAATTCCTACAAACTAGTGGAAAACAATTCCTTATTCACAAGCAATGCACATAATAGGATCGGAGATGATTACAAGTTGAAACTAAAATGAGTGCAATTCAAATTTTTGTAGCCTCCACCAAACCTCCATTTCATAATTGTTGCAAAGTGATTGCAGCTTGGTGAACTCTTATGCACAGTTCCGTTCGATGCCTTGTTCGTGATTTGTAGACATATTGTGTGACATAGCCCCATAGGAAAAAATCCAGTATACTCAGGTCAGGCTATCTATGTGGCCATTCAAATAATCTACTCCCCCGTCCTATCAAACCTATTAGGGTAGTTTTGATTCAGCCTACTCTCCACAATACCCGCAATATGAACAGAAGAGTCATCTAATTGAAAATATGAATTTCTTGTTTATGCAAGGGGAAGTTCATCTATTGCGTCTGACAATTCATTTCTTGAAAATTGTGAGAAATTTGCGGCATTGATGTTGCTGTCAAATAAGAATGGTCCAATTATCCGCTCATTCAGTATTCCACGCCAAACATTTACCTTTTCTGAATACTGCCTCTTACAGTTAATCACCCAGTTAGGATTTTCAGTGGCCCAATATCGAATATTTTGTGATGAAACCACTCCATTTGTTGTGAAACTAGCTCCATCACTGAATAAACTATTCTTTAAAGAAATCATGTCGTTAAGGTACTCGCCCTGGGCCCATAAGCCAAATTCCAAACATTTTTCTTGATCACTTTCTTGATCACATGTGCAGACACATCGGGTCATCTCATTCAGTTGCTGCTGCTGTTGGTGCTGCTACCATGACCAGTGAGAAAGGAAAACAGCAGAAATATCGAAATGTTGGAAATAACTTTATATTTTATTCTGTGACTGTAGAAACTTTCGGTGTATTTGGGCCCTTATCTCTAAATTTTTTTAATGAAATTTTCAGAAGGTTGACTGAAGAAACTAATGAAAAAAGATGTACCTTCTGATCCAGAAAATCAGTTAAGCTATACAGCGTGGTAGTTCAGCTTCTGTTTTTGGCTCCATCCCATTATCACATTCACTGTCAAATCATATCTATACCCTAGTCACGATGGGAGATTGTTTCCTCATAAAACCTCCCATACTCCTTTAGATACTCCCCATTAGTTCATATCAGAAGATACACAAAAATATGAAGAAGTTCTAGAATTAAAAACGTCTGCCATATCCAATTCAGTTTTAGGCAGGTCAGCTTCGAATTCCTTATCCCACCGATCCAATGAAGGGGTGAATCATCGATTCCGTGATTATTCATGAGAAGACAGAAGTGACGAATGTAGTATCAAAAGTTACATCATTAGACCAGAGATACATTCTTCATTCGAAAATCTTGGAATTGCCCCTCGATTCATGGGATCTGCCCATCAAGACGCCCAGGATTGCCTTCGATATCTTTCAGAAGGTTTACATGATGGAATTACTGAGAAACCTGAACCGATTGACGAAAAATTGAGCAACAGCGAAAAAGCGCAAGAATCCTGGCTGAGATATTTGAACATAAACAACTTTAAGATTGCAGACAATTTTTTTTTCAAAAACCTGATAAAGCTACTGTGCTGACAAAACATGTTGTGATATATTTTTCAAATAAAGTTTGTGGAGATCAAATCGTGAAGTGTATTTTTTGAAATTCATCTCAAGTAACGGCCGAATCAATCAGAAAAAAAAGACAATTGTGTTGGTCTATTGAAATCTACTATGAAGTGCACAATCTGTGGATACTCAGTAACCTTCGGTCCTTATTGCGATTTGTCTCTCCCTATACCACAAAGAAGTGACTAATTGAGTTTTTTACAATGCTTGGATTTTTTCACAAATGGGAAACTCTGGATGGAGATGAAAAACAACCTGTTTGTGGTGCAAGGAAAGAAGAAAATGCACAAAGTCCCTATTAATCCATAAGTTTCGCCGTATTTTAGCAATTCATTCAAAAAGATTCTCTTTAATGGAAAGATTCAGAGGCAAATTGAATGTTGGCATTGATTTTTCTTCAGAAGGATTAGATATGAACGATTATGCAGCAGACAATGTGGCTCCTTGACGTTACAATCTATATGCACTTTCGAATCATTTTCTAACTGTTTATAACGGGCATAACACCCTTATAGTGGCACGTGAATAGAATACAACGATTCACACGTGTCTCCAATTCCACCAAAATCGCTTGTGAATGAGGAGGCATATGTCCTCTTTTATGAACAGGAGGGTACAAACTAGCACTTTTGGGGTATTTTTATTTCTTTTTTTCTTTTAATGAGCTAAATCCTGTTAACTGATTTGTATTTCATGATTTTCCGGATTATAAATATTGAAAATTTCGTGAAATAAATTAGTCATAAAGTAAAACAATTTTGGGTAAATACACATGTTGCGTATACCTATCACTGGCATGGGGCGTGCCAGATGAACAGAAAAGTAAACGTGGAATGGCAGCAGTGGTGTAGTCAGAGTTTTGCTAGAATTAAATTAAATGACAAATTCTTTGTACTCCCTTATAATTTTTTCATTGATGAACAGATTTTGTTGAAACAGTCATATCTCAAAACCTCTCCAATCCAGTGGTGTACTCAGAACTTAGATGAAACTTCTGAAATTGAAGGGTGAGTTGATTGAACATCATATTTTTTTGAATTTATTCACTTATTACTTTTCTATTATTGGATGCATTCCTTCATAACTTTGACACAGATCATTTGAAAACGTCACGAATACAGTGATGTAGTCAGAATTTTTTTAAAACATCGCTAATAATTTTTTTCAATTTCCGGCCTTGAAAAATAAAAAAACTCGCCCTGAAAATGACGAATAATTCATAAAATGTGGAATGACGGAAAACCAACAATTTACTCAACAGCTAAGATGATACCATCAGGCACCTGTGCAACGTCTTCCATTTGGAAAATTCGTTGCAAGTAGGTACCTTACTGTTTATAAAAAGGTGAAATTAATTTCACTTGATCAAGATGACCACCGAGTCAGTTCCGGAGTACTAGCTCCTCGCAAGTACCAGAGGTTATTGGGAGGTAATATACTAACTAGCTGAAAAACGGCAAAAATTTAAATTTGGAAGGAAATAAACATCATCAATGTATAGACCACAAAATTCTCTATCGATCAGTATACACCACAACACAGTAGAATCAATATTTATTGAGATATGGAGCTACAAAAACATATGACATTGAAACTGACAGTACTTTCAAAAAAAATCTGATGCAATAATGATCTATGATATTCATAAAAACTTTTTTTCACAGAGAACCTCCAATATCTCCGCCTAGGTGATAACAACATTCACACAATTCCAACTGATGCATTGAAAGGACTGCACCGATTACGTCACTTGGATTTGAGGTCTAACAATATCTCGTACATCGCTGAGGATGCTTTTTCGGGCTTTGGAGATTCCATCACGTTCTTGAATCTGCAAAAGAATGAGTGAGTATATTTTCGAAGATAGAAAAGCCAGAATTCATCGCTTTCTTCTCCCCTCCAAATACCATTCGTCAAAAAATGTCCCAACTTCTCACAAAACTGATTTTTGGAACTTCCTTTCCCTCGACGATTTATTTTATGTTTCAAACATGTTCTGTTCAAACACTATGAAATATGGAATGCTGCATTAGATTCACTTGATCGCAGATAATAGGGGTTACATCTGTCATTTATTATATGGCAACGTGAAAATTCGGAAACATATTGCTCAAAGTCAACTTCATATAAAACGTTTAATAATGTTACATCTCACTGCAAATTTTCCCAAGGTTTTTTGTATTTTTTTGCAGAAAATTCATCATTTGAAAAATGGTCACTTCACAAAACTAAAAATACTGCCGAGTTAAGTGAAGTTCAACCAAGTCTGGAATATTTCGGTTGTACAAAGTGGGCCAAACTGGCCACTTTTATAGGGAAACTCCTGTTTTTGAATTAGATGAAAACTGATGGCTGTGGGTCAAATTTCATGACGAACTCATTGGTGGACACCTCATATCGATATCAATCTTTGTTTTTGAATTACAGCGTGTTTTTCCAATATGTGCATTTTCGAAAAGTTGCTGCAACTTTTTTCCTGTCCATAATGTATTGCTTTTATGAAATTATCTCCAAAACACTTTTTTACGTAGAATTCAATGGTGTGAAAATACCTATTTTTTTAAATGAGATATCAATAGTTATTGATAGAGCTTTTGGTTTTTTCATGTGGACTTTAAAATGCACCCTTTGATCAAGTAGGCGACGCAGACAACGCGGCGAATAAACAAAAAGAAATTGTTCAATAGTAGCTGTCAAATGTTAGGGAAACTTTTCACTCATTTAGCTATTGATTTGAAAATAAGTTACCGATGAGCTGAAGGAACTTGCAGCTTCAAACATAGCTCAGAACTGGATGAAAATACAATTATTTTGCATTCTGTATAAATAATATCAAACAGATAAAATCGAACAAAGTATGGAAAGTCGGAGAGTTTCAATGAATGAAAAGATTTGGTATTGGTTGTCCAATCCAACATTGGAACACACATGTACGCAGATAGTTATTCTCAACTAAATAAAGAATAATACTTATTGCTTTTTCACAAGTACCATTGCAAAAGTTCCAAGTAAGCACTATAAAATATATAATGCAGACTAAAACGATAGCGATAAAATAAAACAGTGCAAAAAGTGCAGTATTTTATTTTATGCATTTTATTTTATTTTATGGGGAACACCCCATTTTTACGGTAAAACATATTAGGGGGCAAAATAGGCTCAAAATTCTTTCAGATTCGTGATCAGGACTACCAACTTACTACGAATACACTTTTTTCCTGAAATAATTTCAGTCCTGAAAAATCCGAATTTGTCTCACTTCTTATGGAAACACCCCCGTATCTTCCGTAATATTCGAGGTGGAACGATGAAACTCTCAGGACTGGTGGAAATGCTCAAAATGCACCTACCACCTGAATGGGGTTGACCAAAGTGATATACACTGTCCGCCACTCGCGATGGAACACTCCATTTTTAGGTAAAACATATTAAGGCGCAAAATAGTTCGCTTCCAATACCTGAACCCCTTCATTCTATCTGGAGAGTACTCTCAGGTATGAAAGATATAGATGCTGTGAGATGCTATCATCCATTTTGAGCCTATCTGTGTGATAGTGTGAAGCAGTGTATGAAAAATTATCGATTGCGGCATCTATTATAACTGAAGAAGATTTTTCGTAAAACTGATTCTGACTGCTGAACATCCAAATTCTATCCCAAGCAGAAGTGAGAGCTCTCGATTGATGAGCGAAAACTGCAAAACATGGAAATAATCTATATTCAAAGGTTCACATCTCGAAAACTGTACAATTCTGAGCTTTGGCTGTGGACACTTCCAATCAGCACATCAAGAACTACAACATATCAAAATTTTGGCAAAATTCAAGGCAAGCCCTTTCTCATAAGAAATGTGCGGGGTCCTTTATCAAAATATTGAGGAAACATTTTATCATCCGAATCAAAATTAATCTTTATACTCATTGCAACACCGAAACAACTGTTGGTTTTCAAAGAAAAAATCGCACTCGGTGAACAGGTAGAATTTAGATTATTTTAACAAGGGATTGCTGTTCGGCAACGGTTGATATAGTTTCTAAGTCATTGTTCAACTTTCTAGTAGCGTTGTCCAGGTCATCAACTGAAAGGGAGGTATAGCTGAATGTCATCAGCATACATGTGTATTTTACAATATTCAACATGTTTATGAAATTGGCTAGTATAAAGTGTGAAAAAAAGTGGTCCCAGAACTGAGCCCTGAGGTACTCCCAAGATGACATTTCTAGCTGCAGATAATTGATTTCCCAATTTGACGCTTTGTCTACGATTGTTGAGATATGATTGACAAAGCTGCAGTGATTCCGTACAGACTCCACTTGTTTTCAAGATCTTTAGTAAGGTATCATGCCTAACCGTATCGAACGCTTTACTAAAGTCAAGCATTACCAATACCGTACAATTATTTTTATCAAGTGATCCAATAATATCATCAGTTACTTGTAGAAGAGCCGTCGTGCAACTATGTCCCTTTCGGAACCCCGACTGAATAGAGGGTAAGATTTTATTTTCATTGAGATGTTCAGATAGTTGACTGGCTAAAATTTTCTCAAACAATTTAGATAAGCCCGTCAAGATGTTTATAGGCCTAAGGTCAGAAAACTGTGAGGGATTTTCGTTTTTCGGAATAGGGGTAACAATAGCAAATTTCCAAGTAGAGGGATATTTAGATGACAGTATTATACTATTAAAGATATGTACCAA